ACAAGTAGCTGAGACTACAGGTGCCTACCACAGTGCCCGGCTATTTATTTATTTATTTATTTAAGAGACAGAGTACACTTTGTCCTCCCCAGAGTGCCTTGGCATCACAGCTCACAGCAATCTCAAAACTCTTGGGCTCAAGCGATTCTCTTGCCTCAGCCTCCCAAGAAGCTGCCACAGTATTTGGCTATTTTTAGAGATGTGGTCTCGCTTTTGCTCAGGTTGGTTTTAACTCGTGAGCTCAGGGCAATCCACCTACCTCAGCTTCCCAGAGTGTTAGGATTATAGGCGTGAGCCACTGAGCCTGGCCCTATTCCCTGAGATTTTTTTTCTTCTGTCGGAGACAAGAGTCTCACCCTGTTGTCCAGGCTAGAGTGCAAATTCAAACTCCTTGGTAAGCAATTTTCCTGCTTCAGTCTCCAAAGGAGCTGAGACCAAAGGCTCCCAATACAACACCTGGCTATTTTTTTTCTATTTTTAGTAGAGATGGGATCTCACTCTTGTTCAGGCTGGTCTTGAACTACTGAGTTCAAGAGATCCTCTGTGCCAGTGTAGTGGTTCACACCTGTAATCCTAGTACTCTGGGAGGCCGAGGCTGGTGGATTGCTTGAACTCACGAGTTGGAGACCAACCTGAGCAAAAACTGGGACCCCCATCTCTACTAAAAATAGGAAAATTGAGGCAAGAGAATCACCTGAGCACAAGAGTTGGAGATTACTGTGAGCTATGACACCATGGCACTTTACCCAGGGTGACAGCTTGAGATGTGGTCTTAAAAAAAAAAAAGGTTTAGCGCCTGTAGCTCAGCAGCTAGGGTGCCAGCCACATACACCAGAGCTGACGGGTTTGAACCCAGGCCAAAAATGATAATTACAACAACAAAAAATGGCTGGGGGCGGTGCCTGTGGCTCAGTGAGTAGTGTGCCGGCCCCATATACTGAGGGTGACATGTTTGAACCCAGCCCCAGCCAAACTGCAACAAAAAAATAGCAGGGCATAGTGGCGGGCGCCTGTAGTCCCAGCTACTCAGGAGGCTGAGGCAAGAGAATCACTTAAGCCCAAACTAGAGGTTGCTGTGAGCTGTGATGCCAGAGGGCGACAAAGTGAGACTTTGTCTCTAAAAAAAAAAATAGCCGGGCTTTGTGGTGGGTGCCTGTAGTCTTAGCTACTTGGGAGACGGAGGCAAGAGAATCCCTTAAGCCCGAGTTGGAGGTTGCTGTGAGCCGTGATGCCACAACACTCTACTGAGGATGACATAGTTAGACTGTCTCAAAAAAGAAAGAAAGAAAGAAAGAAAACAAACAAGAAAGAAATCCTCTGCCCTCTGCCTCCCAGAAGGCTAGGATTACAGGCGTGAGCCACCACACCTATCTGACTTTTGTAGTTTTGCCCAGCTTAACTGCCCTAATCCCTACTCTTTGATCTTGTCCTGCCTATTCCAGAAATTCTCTTCTGATCCCTCTAATCGCCCCCTCTTGTAACATGTACACTCATCTCTATGCTGCCAATATTTTCTTCAAGAGCATCTTCATTTCTTTTTTTTTTTTTTTTTGAGACAGAAGCCTCAAGCTGTCCCCCTGGATAGAGTGCTGTGCCATCACAGCTCACAGCAACCTCCAAGTCCTGGGCTCAAGCGAGTCTCCTGCCTCAGTCTCCCAAGTAGCTGGAACTACAGGTGCATGCCACTACACCCAGCTATGTTTTGGTTGTAGTTGTCATTGTTGTTTGGCAGGCCGGGGCTGGGTTCAAACCCACCAGCAGCCACTTGAGCTACAGGCACCAAGCCCAACAGCATTTTCAAATGCTACTTAAGGCAAAGACTCCCTTCTATTTATTTATTTATTTAGACAAGAGTCTCAAGCTGGCTCGGCGCCTGTGGCTCAAGTGGCTAAGGCGCCAGCCACATACACCTAAGGTGGCGGGTTGGAATCCCCAGCCTGGGCTAGCCAAACAACAGTGATGGCTGCAACCAAAAAAAAAAAAAAATGGCCGGGCGTTATGGCGGGCGCCTGTAGTCCCAGCTACTTGAGAGGCTGAGGCAGGAGACGCGCTTGAGCCCATGAGTTGGAGGTTGCTGTGAGCTGTGATGCCATGGCACTCCCCCTAGGGGGATAGCTTGAGGCTCCGTCTAAAAAAAAAAGTCTCAAGTTGTCAGCCTGGGTAGAGTGCCATGGCATCATAGCTCACTGTAATTTCTAACACTTTGAGATGGTGGCCTGGTGGGCCAGGGGACCAGCTCCCCCATTCCTCTTCCTCAGGAAACAGGGATGGGAGGGGAGGCTGAGCAGGGGACAGCCGGGATGAGGCCTTGAAGAACACACAATATAAGGCCTTGCTGACTTCATGGTTCACACACAGGCAGGATAAGGTTATGCTGACCCCATTGATGTTAAAATCATTTTTGTATCTAGCTTAGGGTGACCAGACGTCCGGCTTTTGAACAATTTGTCCCAAGTCCCGCGGCGTTTTAAAAAAGTCCCGATTTTTGGAAAGAATGCACGAACGGGCGGGAGAACAAGAAGGAAATATACAGTTTTTGGCTGCCATGTGGCTATTTCTTCAGAATATGAGCTTTATATTATTTTTGTTAATTTTGTAATGTTAAACTGTAATAATAACAAATAGTTGCTGAGAAGTGATTATCTAGAACTGCTTATCAAAGTTTGCATTGTTGTCAGGCACTGCCCTGCCCCGTCCTCTGCCCCGCCCCCGTCTCGCCCCGCCCCTGCGGCCATGTTGTCCCGCCTTACCGATGTTAAAATCTGGTCACCCCAATCTCGCTATCATTTTGCTTAACCAAGTATCTGTGCTGGGATGAGCTGGTTGTATAGTTTAGTGGCTTGCTTGCTGCGTCATCCAACCTATAAAAGCTGCATTAACCCTGGTCGTGGCTGATCTCCCCTGATCTCTCAGAGACTTGTGGAGATAGCTGGCCAGCCGGTCTAAATAAAGGTTCCTGATTATTTTTTTTTTTTGCAGTTTTTGGCCAGGGCTGGGTGTGAACCTGCCACCTCTGGCATATGGGTCCAGCGCTGCACTCTTTTGGGTCACAGGCCCCTCCCGAGCTATTTTGTTGTTGTTGTAGTTGTCATTTTTGTTTGGCAGGCCCAGGTTGGGTTTAAACCTGCCGGCCCCAGTGTATGTGGCTGGTGCTCTAGCCGCTGAGCTGCAGGCGGCAAGACAGTTTTTCTATTTTTTAGTAGAAATAGGGGTCTGGCTTTTGCTCAGGCTGGTCTCCCACTCGTGAGCTCAAGCAATCCACTAGCCTCATCCTCCCAGAGTGCACAAAAGGCTGTGCTTGAGGGTAGGGAGAAAAAAACCGGGTTGGCAGGTACTCACGGCAGCCGCCGGCAAGGATTACAGGTGTTAGCCACTGTGTGCACTGGCACAAAGACTCCCTTTTGCAGCTGGCGTAGTGCCTATAATTCCTAATTTCTTTCTTTCTTTTTTGCAGTTTCTGGCCCCACACCTCTGGCATATGGGGCTGGCGCCCTACTCCTTTGAGCCACAGGCGCTGCCCATCATTCCTCATTTCTACTGCTTTTGGTTCACTCCCTCCCCTCCACAGAGTCTCACTTTGTTACTCTTTGTAGGGTGCAATGGCGTCACAGCTCACAGCAACCTCAAACTCTTGGGCTTAAGCAATCCTCTTGCTTCCCGAGTAGCTGGGATTACAGGTGTACGCCACAATGCCCAGCTATTTTTTTTCTTTTTAAGAGACGAGGTATTGGGAGGCGCCTGTGGCTCAAGGAGTAGGGTGCCAGCCCCATATGCCAGAGGTTGTGGGTTCAAACCCAGCCCTGGCCAAAAAAAAGAAAAAAAAAAAGACGAGGTATTGCTCTGGCTCAGGGTAGTCTCCACGTCCAGGCAATCCACCCCCCTGTGCCTCTCAGACTGCTAGGATTACAGGCGTGAGTAACCATGCCTGGCCTGGTTCACTCCCTTTAATAGCTCTTACTATACACTACTTGTCACCGCGGTTATTTGCAAACAATCTCTCCTCCTCTACTAGATCGTAAGAGGAGAAGAGGTGGGTCATATTTACCTTACTTTCTCTGTCCGAGGCCAGGAACTGCTAGACAAGCGAATGGAGACTGACCTAGGCCACCTGCTTGGCTGCCTCTTTGCTTTGAGTTTACTTCCTGGTGCAGGAGTGGAGGCCTGTTTGTGGGGTCCAGTAGAAAACATAGTACTTAATACAATGTATCTTGTTCTAGAAATAAATTAAGTAGACGCCTCAGCACCTAAAGTGGAGTTCTAGACACATCTAGATTTCTCCTTTCTCCTCTGCTATCACCCTTCTGTGGCTGCTTGTCTGTCTGATAAGCCAAATAGCTCAGTGTGGAGTGTTGATGGAATCTTGCCATGTGCCAAGTGATTCTGACGTCCAAGTTGTTTAAGGCGATTGCTAACGACCAGACCACACCACTCCGACCCCAGGGCGTTGGTACAACCGGCACTTCCTGAAATCTTTGTAAGATCGCCATGGCAGGAACCCCAATACTACTTTTGGGCCGGTGATTTGCCTAAGGCAGTGGCTCTCAACCTTCCTAATGCCGTGACCCTTTAATACAGTTCCTGTAGGTGGCGACCCACAGGTTGAGAACCGCTGGCTAAGGTCTTCAGCTGAAAGCGGAATAGCAGGGTGAATGTGAGAAAATCTACGTTTATTGAGGACCAGGAGGCATAAGGGACTTAATGTCTGACTCTGACACTGCCGTACTGGATAGAGCATCGGAGGTGCTGCAGCGGTGCCATCCAGAGAGAAGGAAGATGTGCCTAACCGCCACTTGGCAAAGCTCCGCCCGCAAGGCAAGAGGAAGTGGCTGTTCGGTCTCCCCGCCCACCTCCCCCCCAATGGGATTCTTTCTCCACCGCGCATGGGTGGGAGAAAGGCTGTGCTTGAGGGTAGGGAGAAAAGGCAGAGTTGGCAGAGGCTGGAGGCAGCCGCGCTAGGGGTAGTGGGGCGCCTGCAAGGCGTGCCTGCGTGCTTACGTGTGTAAGCGGGGCTTACGGCACGCCGCGCGCCGGGCGGATGTCCGGGCCGGCTGGGCCGGGGCCGCGGGCGTGATGGCGGAAGGTGGAGGCTGTCGTGAGCGACCGGATGCGGAGACTCAGAAGTCTGAGCTCGGGGCCTTGATGAGGACAACGCTCCAACGGGGAGCGCAGTGGTGAGCAGCGAGCCAGCTATTCCGACGCACAGAGTCGGGGGACGGGAGATGTAGTCCTGAGGCCAGGCCCCCTTTTCCTCGCTTTGGGTAGGGGCCGACGGGGGCCGGTGTTTGGTGACCCTGAGTGGCTTAACACCTGCCCCTCGGAAGAGGAACTTCCGAATCAGCTCTGGGAAAGCACCAGTGGAGCTGGGGGCCATTCAGACCCATTCAGAGCCCCAGGAGTCAAGCCCGGCGAGGGCTAGGGCTGCAGGATGTGGAGGAGGAGAGTGAGGGTGAGGGGAGCCCTTTACAATTGAGGTATAGATTTGTGACTTAGGGGGAAGATGTCCACACCTCACAAATTTCAGCTCCTTACTGTTAAAAAGCAGGTTAGCAATATGTAGCTCACCGCCAGCATTGGGTTGAAGTGAAGATCAGAAGTAGATACTTTGTAAGTTGTAAACTGCTGAACAGATGTCAAGGTCAGAAGGTGAACAGATGTGTGAAAGCCCCAGATTATTTGGTAGCAAGTGTCAAAAATATTTGTGACAGCAGTATCTCAAGAGTAGGAGAGCATAGCCTAGATCCTGGAGTTAGAAGATTTAAAAGTCCAGGATTTGGAAAAGCAAGAATGAGATATGAGGTTCTTAATAAAGTAGAAGGGATGATACTTTTCACTAGTGGAGATATTCACTATTATGTGGGAATAGAAAACTGGGCCTATACTTTGCATTGAATATGACCGAATGACATTCATCTCTAAACAACATTTGTGGTGTTGATCCACAGGGTAATTTTGAGCAGGAAATAGAAATATTGGGGTTAGGAGGAGTTTGGATATGGTTTTAAGGTGTTCAACTTCAGCTAGTGAAAGGCGGGGTAAGCAGAGGTACTTTTGAAGTTATTCTTCCTAGGGGTGATAAAAAGTATTCAGTAGAGGAGTGGAGCCTGTGGCTCAAAGGAGAAGGGCGCCAGCCCTGGCCAAAAACTGCAAAACACACACACACACACCCTCCCCCTGCCCCAAAAAAAGAATATTCAGCAGAAGCAGAGGATATTTAAAACAGACTAAAATAACAGTATAATCATATGGGAAGTATTCCTCAAGGGATTTGGAGGGCAGATAGTATTTTAGCAATTTGGTTATATTTGTAGATGTTTGTGGCCTCTGGGAAGTTGTCTGATCTCACATTTGTTGGTCATAAAATTTGAAGAACTCACTGGTGTAATTATTGTCTTTTGATGCCCCAAAGGGTTTTTTTCACCTTTAAAAATTTTTTTTTTTTTTTTGAGACAGAGCCTCAAGCTGTCCCCCTGGGCAGAGTGCCGTGGCATTACAGCT